AAAAAAAAACAAATATAGAGCATAATGATAAAAAATACTTATTAATGAATACTCTGATAAAAGGCATGAGAGATAGAGACTTGAAGCAGAAAAATAAAGCAAAATTGATCAACTCTAGTTAATGTATTTACTCAGCAATAAAAAAAATTCATTTGTTCATACCTGATATGGCCACTTTTCCTTTGCATGGTGTTCGTTGTTTATTTTCAAAATTTACATCACTGTTAAACAAAACACAAAACAAAACCACTTAGAAAGAAAAAAATCAGAGGGGCGGAGGAGTATTCACGTGCGCTAGTACTGGGGCTTGAACTCAGCGCCAGAGTCATTTTCCCTTACCTTCTTCAAGACTGGTGCTGAAACACTTGAGCCATAGCTCCACTTCTGGATTTTGGTGGTTAATTGGAGACAAGAGTCTCAAGAACTTTCATGCCTATGCTGGCTTCAAACCATGATCCTCAGATCTCAGCCTCCTCAGTAGCTAGGATTACAGGTGTGAGCCATTGTACCTAGTAAAATCTTTTCTATTAAGTAACTGCTTTAAGTCTTTCACAAATATCTGAATATTAATATATGGCCATATGAATAATAAAACAGTTAATATAAAGTATTTGACCCCAAGGTATTTAGTAAACAGCTAGCTAGCTAGGTTTGAGAGCAATTCTCCATATTTCATAAAAATTTGTATTCCCTAATGATGTGTACAAGTTACTCTATAATACTAGTCTTCACTAATTTATAAATGAGATTTATCATATGTGCAGGTTCCTCAAAGTGTTAATACCTTGGATCACTATTACATAAATTTCTTGATTTTTAGATACAATGGCCTAAAAACGTAAATGTATGTCCCAAACACATAATGTGTTGTCCAAGACCAACTTATCCTTACAGAATCTGGAATATATAAAAAAATCACTCTGATGAATAGTTATGTGTTGTTAATATCATATTTCATTTTTCTAAATTCTAAAAAAACTTACTAGATACCAATCCAACAATGAACTAAGTAATATGGGGAAGGGAAGCAAAAAACAAAGAAAGGAAAATATTACTATGACAACAGAAAAAAGTTTCTAAGTTAATGCTGGAGATATATGACACTTCCAAATCTGATTTTAGAACATACAATCATAAACATACTGTCACAAAAAATACTTCCAAAAATAGATCAGTACAATTTACCATTCTGGAATACTTCCCTAGTATCTTGTTTCTTAATAATCTGCATTTAGAGATTAACATTGCATTTCTAAAGCAGTATTTCCAAGCAAACTCCCCGTATTTTTATCAACTCTTTGTAGTTTTTAGCCTTATTCAATTTAGTTAGCTCATCAACTGCTAGCTAATTTAATTAGAAAATTCAAATACGAGATTAGATGGAAATTTTCCACTTGAGTACTGTTTGTTTCTAAGAGTTTGTGGAGAAAGACTACCTAGAGAAAGACTGCACAGAGTTAAAAGTGGGAAGTTATCTAACTAAATTTTCAGAAAAGGATGTCACAATTTCATTGTTTCCTATAGCTTTGTTTTAAAAAAGCCTAGTTATATATTCATTATCATGCATCCAAATTTGAAAACAAAATACATAATTTGTATTACCTTCTAACTGGATTAAAAACAAAGTATCATGGGGGAAGTATGTTCCAAATGTGCTAAAAATAATTTACTGACATCCCTGACATGCTTACATGGGACATTTACATGGGGCGTTTACATGGTATTTACAGAATCACATTCTAGCTATACTTAAATAATGTAATAGATTTAAAGTCATACATTTTCAGACCCTACCCAATGGCTTTATGTATTTGGAAAATTCATTCAGTGACAAATGTAAGTATTCATCAATTATTTCAAATGTTTCATTCAATCATAAATTCAAGCGTAAAGTTCAATCTTAAAGTTTAATTTTTCAAACTAGTACAAGAAATACTGTATAAATGTAGTTGGTTGGCATTTGTAAGTAATATCTTAAAAAAATAAATCTATATAAACAAGGCACAGTATAAATTTTTAAGAGTATTATGTCATTTTAGATTTTCAAGAAAACTTAAAGATGGTGGGTAACTTTATAGGTCTAGATTATGTTAAAGTTGAGATCCACTGGGCATTACTAAATTGGATTAGATGTCAGGCTTTGGCAGGCAAATTAAATTCTGAAATACCCAAACCACCAAAACCAAATTTGCCAAGTATTTACTGAAAAATATTTTCCTCTCCAAACTTCTCTACTACCTGGCAGAGTACCACTTTCTGTAATCAAATTATTTGCAGTGGCATTTCCAGGGCCAGCCAATAAACTTATTACATACAAATACAAATATTATCAAACTATAATATAAAGCCAGTAAACCATATTAGCTTGCAAAATAATTAAGTCTGTGTTTTAAAAAAATTAAAACTCAGCCTCATTTTCTCATGAGTGAATTATTTTCAGTTCAAATAGCTCCCCAAACAGTTATTTAGTTTGCAAAACTGTGATATTTTCCTAATTAATCCAAATTGAAAATAAAATGGTTAAACATTATCTACTTAATAATGTGCTACTGTAGCTAATAGTTTGCTACTTGTTTGAAAATCTGCAATATTCATGTCAATTCTGAATGCTACAATTAAAGCCAATCCAAGGAAAAAGCAAATAACCACAAAATTACTGAAGCAGCATACAGCTAAATAATAGTGTACCTTATTCATATGAATCCAGTGTAAAACATTATTTTGGGGAGACCCATAAAAGCTAATTTAAGAAATTAACATACAGAAGACAAACATAACATTATTACTCACATTCCTGCCTGTAGGTAAACAATATGACCAACAGAGGGTGCCAACTTGCCACTTTGTTCCTCAAAATCTGTATTAAAATCTTCTGAGTATGTCAGTCCCTATTTGAAACTGTTCTATGTTTGGGAATTTAAAATGTAATTTCTTTACCAAAATTAACAAGCTATAATGAAAAATCACACAATGTTGAGAGTATTTCAAAATTTCTTAATGAAATACTAATAGGATTCTAAATGTTATTCTATTATTTGATAATAAGTTACAAAATCCTTCACCTTTCATGCAAATAAATGCAAACTAAATATTCAGAAATACTTAATATGAAGTCAGGCACTGGTGACTCACACCTTAAATCCTAGCTACTCAGGAGGCTGAGATCTGAGAATGCAGTTCAAAGCCAGTCCGGGCAAAAAAAATTATGAGACTCTTATCTCCAACTAACCAACAGAAAATTGGAAGTGGCACTATATCTCAAAGTGGTAGACCATTAGCCTTGAGCAAAAAAGAGTTCAGGGACAGTGCCCAGGCCAATAAGAAGAAAGAAAGAAAGAAGGAAAGAAGGAAAGAAAGAAAGAAAGAGAGGAGGGAAGGGAGGGAGGGAGGGAAGGAAGGAAGGAAAGAAAGAAAGAGAGAGAGAGAGAGAGAGAGAGAAAGAAGGAACGAAATGCTTAGAATGAAAATTCTAAGCTGTCCTAAAACTATGTGGCATAAAATTAAGTTATATAAATATCTTAAATTCTAGTCTAAATATGATATAAGCTCTTTTCAACAGACACCAGCTATTTAAAAATTTAAGATATAAAATTAGAAGTGACTTTATAAGCACATTTCATTATAGAATTACTAAAAATACAAAAAATTTTAACTTCCAATCTACATGGCTTGTTTTTCTTCTTTTAATTTATAAAGTAATAAACTAGGAAACTGCAATATAAGAAACGAGCATCGTAATCACATAAAACTTGTAGTTATTTTGGTACTATTAAAAATCACAATTTTGTTGAATGATACATAATTAAGTTCTATAAATGACTGTAATTAACATTATTTTTACAAAGCCAAATAAAGCATTTCAGAACTTAAGTCAACAAGAGACAGATTGGGTGAGGAGGAGAATGAATGGATGGTACTGCTAAAATGTGAGGCGTGGGAGTACAGAGAATTTTTGGTGGGGGAGGGGCCTATTAACATTCATTGCTATATAACAAGTCCCTGATATACAGAACAGTATATTTCAAAGCACTCAGTGTGCATTTAGGGGCTGTTGAGTGTGAAATGAACTAAGGATATGGTTATTTCGATGGAGCTACAGTAGATATGGACTCGAGCTTTATTCATATTTCAATTTTACTCATCAATAACTATGTTAATGAGTTACTATTAACCTGTTAAAACCAACAGGCTTAGCTGAAAAGTGGACAAAGTACCTCACAGAGCTACTGAATGATTAATACTTTAATGCATTCTGTGTCATTCTTAAAGATGTTACATATTTTATGTTAAATAGAAGAGGCACTAAACTATTTGCTAAGGTGATCAAAGTATGACTTGCCAATTCTTGTAAATTGTGGTAGCTATCTAAAACAAATTATCATTACATCTCCTACATAAAGGCTTCAGTTCAATAAGGGAAATATCCTCTCCAACTTAAACCAAAAACGTAAGTAGAAATACACAGGACTAATATCTACATGCAAATGGATAAACTAGTATCTGAAGCCATAAAAGCCAGCCCCTGCTGGTCTTCCCCATGTAAAGAATAACCATTAGTTGATATTCTACTCCCTAGAGGACGAGACAATGGCTATGAAACCTGGTGGATTCCACTCGCCAGCTCCTAGGGGGTTGAAAACAACTCTGGTTCAAGAGTTCACATTGTAAAGGAAAGATCCTTTGGAGGTTTGCCATGAAAACAATAAATAAAATTAAAGAAGAAGTTTAACTCAAAAATCTCAAAACAAATAATTTCAAGGATCAGAAAACCAATCAACTAGCATCCTCAAATGGCAGTTAAGGAAACAGTTCACTGGAAGTGGAGCTGTGTCTCAAGCGGTAGAAAGCTAGCCTTGAGTGGAAAAGCTAATGGACAGTGCCCAGGCTCTGAGTTCAAGCCTCAGTACAGGCACGAAAAAATAAACAAGGGGGCTTGGAATGTGGCTCAGTGGTAGAGCACTTGCCTTGCATGCATGAGGCCCTGGGTTTGACTCCTCAGCACCACATAAGCAAAAAGAAAAAAGCTGGAAGTGGCACTGTGGCTCAAGTGGTAGAGCACCAGCCTTGAGCTTTAGAGCTCAGGGACAGTGCCTAGGCCCAGAGTTCAAGCCCCACAACCTACAAAAAAAAAAAAGGATACACTCACTATTGTAAAACTTGAAAACATTGTCAAAAAAAGAAATGTACTGTTTACCTGATTCTGATTTATATAACTGTAAGC